ACTTCTCTCCACCTTTCAGAGATCTCCAATGTTTGTTTTATATGTAATGGTCAGGATTTTTAGCTGTACTTAGCAGGAGGAATAAGGGAAAATATGACTACTACTACTCTCTTCCCAGAAGCAGCACTATAAATACTTTTAATGCCAACTTAGTCCTTCATTTAAAAATCCCTGTTAGGGACTTCCCTGGTGGCGCAGTGGTTGAGAATCCGCCTGCCAATGCAGGGGACACGGGTTCAAGCCCTGGTCTGGGAGGATCCCACATGCTGTGGAGCAACTAAGCCCATGCACCACAACTGCTGAGCCCACGCTCTAGAGCCCGTGAGCCACAACTACTGAAGCCCGCATGCCTAGAGCCCGTGCTCTGCAACAAGAGAAGCCACCGCAGCGAGAAGCCCGCGCACCGCAAGGAAGAGTAGTGCCTGCTCGCCACAGCTGGAGAAAGCCCGTGTGCAGAAACAAAGATCCAATGCAGCCAAAAATAACTAAATAAATAAATTTTAAAAATAAGTAAAAAGCCCTGTTAACCTTCTACTTGCTACTACTTCATTGGGTAGAGTCCTTTTTTTCATGCTACATAGTTAAAAGTTGGGGTATTAATCAGGGTTCTCCAGAAAAACAGAAACAACAGAATAGATATCTATATATCTATCTATATTTATCGCTCTCTCTCTCTCTCTCTCTCTCTCTCTGTGTGTGTATCTATGTGTGTATATATAAAAGAATTGGCTCATGCAATCATAGAGACTGTCAAGTCCCAAGATCTGCAGGATAGACTGACAAGCTGGAGACCCAGGAGAGCCAATTGTCTAGTTCCAATCCTAGTCAGAAGACTTGAGAACCAGGAGAGCTGGTGGTGTAGTTCCCCCTTGAAGGCTGGCAGGCTCCAGATCCAGGAAGAGCCCATGTTTCAGTTCAAGTACAAAGGCAGAAAAAATTATCTTAATCAGGGGAGGTCATGCTTTTACTTCTTTTCTTTTTTTAATATCTTTATGGGAGTATAATTGCTTTACAATGTTGTGTTAGTTGCTGCTGTAGAACAAAGTGAATCAGCTATATGTACACATATATCCCCATATCCCCTCGCTCGTGAGCCTCCCTCCCACCCTCCCTTTCCCAGCCCTCTAGGTCATCACAAAGTATCGAGCTGATCTCCCTGTGCTATGCGGCTGCTTCCTACTAGCTATCTACTTTACATTTGGTAGTGTATATATGTCCATGCCACTCTCTCACTTCATCCTAGCTTCCCATTCCCCCTCTGTGTCCTCAAGTTCATTCTCTACGTCTGTGTCTTTATTCCTGCCCTGCCATTAGGTTCATCAGTACCATTTTTTAGGCTCCGTATATGTGTGTTGGCATCCAGTGTTTGTTTTTCTCTTTCTGACTTACTTCACTCTGTATGACAGACTCTAGGTCCATCCACCTCACTACAAGTAACTCAATTTTGTTCCTTTTTATGGCTGAGTAATATTCCATTGTATATATGTGCCACATCTTCTTTATCCATTCATCTGTCAGTGGACATTTAGGTTGCTTCCATCTCCTGGCTATTGTAAATAGTGCTGCAATGTACATTGGGGTACATGACTCTTTGAATTATGGTTTTCTCAGGGTATATGCCCAGTAGTGGGATTGCTGGGTCATATGGTAGTTCTATTTTTAGTTTTTTAAGGAACCTCCATACTGTTCTCCATAGTGGCTGTATCAATTTAGATTCCCACCAACAGTGCAGGAATGTTCCCTTTTCTCCACACCCTCTCCAGCATTTATTGTTTCTAGATTTTTTGATGATGGCCATTCTGACTAGTGTGAGGTGATACCTCACTGTCGTTTTGATTTGCATTTCTCTAATGATTAGTGATGTTGAACATCTTTTCATGTGTTTGTTGGCAATCTGTGTATCTTCTTTGGAGAAATGTCTATTTAGGTCTTCTGCCAATTTTTGGATTGGGTTGTTTGTTTGTTTTTTGGTATTAAGCTGCATGAGCTGCTTGTATATTCTGGAGATTAATCCTTTGTCAGTTGCTTTGTTTGCAAATACTTTCTCCCATTCTGAGGGTTGTCTTTTCATCTTACTTATGGTTTCCTTTGCTGTTCAAAAGCTTTTAAGTTTCATTAGGTCCCATTTGTTTATTTTTGATTTTATTTCCATTACTCTAGGAGGTGGGTCAAAAAGGATCTTGCTGTGATTTATGTCATAGAGTCTTCTGCCTATGTTTTCCTCTAAGAGTTTTATAGTATCTGGCCTTACAGTTAGGTCTTTGGTCCATTTTGAGTTTATTTTTGTGTATGGTGTTAGGGAGTGTTCTATTTTCATTCTTTTACATGTAGCTGTCCAGTTTTCCCAGCACCACTTATTGAAGAGACTGTCTTTTCTCCATTGTATATTCTTGCCTCCTTTGTCAAAGATAAGGTGACCATATGTGCATGAGTTTATCTCCAGGCTTTCTATCCTGTTCCATTGATCTATATTTCTGTTTTTGTGCCAGTACCATACTGTCTTGATTACTATAGCTTTGTAGTGTAGTCTGAAGTCTGGGAGCCTGATTCCTCCAGGTCCATTTTCCTTTCTCAAGATTGCTTTGGCTATCATGGTCTTTTGTGTTTCCATAAAAATTGTGAAATTTTTTGTTCTAGTTCTGTGAAAAATGTCATTGGGAATTTGACAGGGATTGCATTGATTCTGTAGATTGCTTTGGGTAGTATAGTCATTTTCACGATGTTGATTATTTCAATCCAAGAACATGGTATATCTTTCCATATGTTTGTATCGTCTTTGATTTCTTTAATCAGTGTCTTATAGTTTTCCGCATACAGGGGTTTTGCCCCTTAGGTAGGTTTATTCCTAGGTATTTTATTCATTTTGTTGCAGTAGTAAACGGGAGTGTTTCCTTAATTTCTCTTTCTGATCTTTCATTGTTAGTGTATAGGAATGCAAGGGATTTCTGTGCATTAATTTTGTATCCTGCTACTTTACCAAATTCATTGATTAGCTCTAGTAGTTTTCTGGTAGCATCTTTAGGATTCTCTATGTATACTATCATGTCATCTGCGAACAGTGACAGTTTTACTTCTTCTTTTCCGATTTGGATTCCTTTTACTTCTTTTTCTTCTCTGCTTGCTGTGGCTAAAACTTCCAAAACAATGTTGAATAATAGTGGTGAGAGTGGACATCCTTGTCTTATTCCTCATCTTAGAGGAAATGCTTTCAGTTTTCACCATTGAGAATGATGTTTGCTGTGGGTTTGTCGTATATGGCCTTTATTATGTTGAGGTAGGTTCCCTCTATGCCCACTTTCTGGAGAGTCTCTGTCATAAATGGGTGTTGAATTTTGTCAGAAGCTTTTTCTGCATCTATTGAGATGATCATATGGTTTTTATCCTTCAATTTGTTGATGTGGTGTATCACACTGATTGATTTGCGGATAATGAAAAATCCTTGCCTCCCTGGGATAAATCCCACTTGATCATGGTGTATGAACCTTTTAATGTATTGTTGGATTCGAATTGCTAGTATTTTGTTGAGGATTTTTGCATCTATGTTCATTAGTGATATTGGCCTGTAGTTTTCTTTTTTTGTGACATCTTTGTCTTGTTTTGGTATCAGGGTGATGGTGGCCTCATAGAATGAGTTTGGGAGTGTTCCCCTCTCTGCTATATTTTGGAAGAACTTGAGAAGGATAGGTGGTAGCTCTTCTCTAAATGTTTGATAGAATTTGCCTGTGAAGCCATCTGGCCCTGGGCTTTTGTTTGTTGGACGATTTTTAATCACAGTTTCAATTTCAGTGCTTGTGATTGGTCTGCTCCTGTTTCTGTTTCTTCCTGGTTCAGTCTTGGAAGGCTGTGCTTTTCTAAGAATTTGTCCGTTTCTTCCAGGTTGTCCATTTTATTGGCATATAGGTGCTTGTTGTAATCTCTCATGATACTTTGTATTTCTGCAGTGTCAGTTGTTACTTCTTCTTTAATGCTTTTAGTTCTATTCCAGCCATATCTGATTGGATGAGTGCCACCCACATTAGGGAGGGAAATCTACTTTATTCAGTCTACCCATTCAAATGTTAATCTCAACCAAAAACACCTACACAGAAACATCCAGAATAATGTTTGACCAAATATCTGGGCACCCTGTGGCCCAATCAAGTTGACACATAAAATTAACCATCATAGTATGTAAACATTTAAAAGCTCAGGACTACCAAACTAGTTAATTTGTACCTAAATATGAATTCTGACCAATATTACTCACAAATTCACATTTTGGGCTTTAAGATATACCGAAAAACTCAAAGGGAGTGAGTAAAGCCTTTCAAAGATTCAAAAATGTGCTCAAAGAGAACAACCACTAAAATCTGGAAGACAGTATGGCATTATGGGAAGTAAGAAACTTACGGTTGCCATGTTTCTTTAAAAGAGCTTTTTAACAGAAAAAATATTAAAGTTTTTATTTTTCCTGGTTCTTGGAGTAAGAATTTACTTTTTCCAGTGTTGAAAGATTTTATAAATTCAAAATAAGAATTTCTCATGATCTATAATCCTTCTGTCCCACTCTCTTAACATTACCCCTGGAGCCAGCACACTGGTGTCAAGAGCTGGCTGGTTCTCAGTGCAGGCAGTATCACTTGTGGGGAAGACTTTGGACCCACATAGGGTTCCCAGGTGTGTGACCTGGGGCAAATTACTTCATCCCTCTAAGCAGCAACTTTCTTATCTGAAAATGGGGAGTTTAATATCTGTAAAATCAGCATGAGTGTTCCATAATTAAACATTCTGAAATTTAGACATCTGAATAATCTTCATTTTTGCAGTTTTATAAATAACACTGCCACCTTGGTTCTTAAATCTCTGGCTTCATTTTGGATCATTTTCTTAAATTCAGCTTCTTAGAGGTGAAATTAATGAGTCAAGGGATAGAACCTTCAAAAAAGATGGTACCAAGATTACACTAGCAATGGGAGAAAGAGAGAGGTGCTTTTCTCATTTTTAAACTTTATGTTTCCTAGAAGCATCAGATGGTGAAGGAGGAGGAGACACAGCAATGATGCAGCAGGAGAGAGCTCCAGTTCCTGCCCTGTCAAAGAAAACCGAACAGGTGACAGTCACTGTGGGAGAGTCACAGCTGTTGGCTCTGAAATCAGCCTCTTCTACCCCTCTACAGCATTCCATGTGCTCCAATACCAGTTATTGGTGGGATTTGAGGGAAGCTTTTACCTTCTCTGCCTTTGAAAGAGCCATGCTTTGTTAATTACAAACCAGCAAGGTCTATTTTTCCCCCTAATATTTTTTTTACAATATAAATATATTTTACAATAATGATATCTTAGATTCTTGTATTACATTTTTACCAAAGACCCAGTTTTATTCTTTTGGGTATAGTTCCTAGGAGAAGACAAATAGCATAGATATGCAAGATTACCCCCACACCAATGCATTATTACAGTACCAAGACATGCTGTGAGCAGGCTCCCAGGCCTTCATGTCTATCTAGCATCATGTCTGTTGTGTGAATTCTTATTGGGGATTTGCTACCTTTGTATTACCACAAGTGGCCATTTGATAAACTTTGCTCCCTGGACTTAGGACCTTTTATTGCCTTTTTAATCTTCTTGCTGGCCACTCACATCCATTTGCACCTTTCTTACATTATTGTCCCTGAGACCTAATTGGTAACCATGTGTGAGTTTTTAAAAGACTATCTGTCAGTCCAAAGTTACCATCTTCTTCATAGTAACATATGTGGCCTTATTCTTGTTGTAGATGGCCCTAAACACATTCCACTAGAGTTTTGTGACCCAAAGTTTGTGACCAGGCTCAGGATAATTGTGGGAAGCAGTTTAGCATTTTGGTTACCTACAAGCTGTGACGCCTTGGGCAAGTTAAACTCTCTGTGCCTCAGTCTCCATATTGGTAAAGTGGTGATAATACGTGTATTTTCTTCACAGGGTTACGGGTGAGGATTAAACGATTAACACTTGTTAAGCTCTTTGAACTGTGGTTGGCAAAGAGTAAGCACTGAAGTGATAATTCTTACAGTAAAATATACTTCAAGTCTTTTATTTTATTCATTATTTTTTCTTTGTGAGGTGGGGAATGCAGCAAGATATACGTGTTTAATGTATAATCAGTCTTGGTTTTCTCTCTAGACATTAAATATTTAACTTCAAGGCCCTGTATCAATTTTAGTTTGCACCATTCTTTCTAAGATCTACAGGTTAACATCTGTAGCTTTTCAATTTATTTCACAAAGATGGGGTTTAATTTTACCTCACTTAACTCCACTGACCATACCAGAGTCATGCCTTCTTTGACCTCTGCCTCTAATCAGTGCCTACTTGCAGAACTTGTTTCCAAATATTCTTTTTTTTTGTAGAAATTAGAACTTTATTATATTATAAACATTTCCAGAATATAAACTGATTTTGTATCAAGACTCCTTGAAACGTTTAAAACTGTATGTAACTTAAGCTTATTATAATGTATGTCATTTTCCACTTTCCAATATAGAAAATATACTGCAAGTTAGATCTAACAAAGGAAAAAAAATCAATCTAAACTGCTTCACAGAGAAAACTAATGAATATAAAAACACCCACCCCAAACTAAAACCCAATCAAGAAATAGATTCTGTAAAGCCTATTAATCCTCCAGTTTAAAATAAATGACGTCCTAAGGGAAAAATACTTCCACCATCATAGCAATTTGATGAATTAAAGCAGAGCCACTCTCGTTAAGGGAAATTACATTATGTATAAGAAAAATGTAGTAATGATTTTAGATAAGAGGAAAAGTAATTTCCATGTTGGAGAGCAAGCACACTAAATGTTTTCTGTTCACTTAGCCTTTGTACCTGCTCACGTGAAAAGAGCGATAGGAACATCGTAAAACCAAGCTCCTCAACTCTTTTTTCAGTTTAACCTCAGGAGAACCAATGCAAGAGCTTCAAAATCCAAGGAGAGACTCGTCCCAAAGCATCTCCTCTTCTTCCTTTCTTTGACTTGTTCCTTTTTCTCTTTACTACCCTTAAGTTCCTATTTCTTAGAGGCTACATCTTGGCTTTTTTTCTCCTTTTGGTTCTTAAGTTTTTCTGTACTGACTGTTTCCACCTCTGTTTTGTTTCTTTGGATGCTCTTGTATTTGTCTAAATCTATTTCCTCACAAGCTTTCTTCCTCTTATGCTTGGGCCGCTCCTCCTCTCGTTTTTCCCGGCCTTTCTCTGGGAGCCTTTTTCTCTTCTGACGTATCTGTTTATATCTAGCTTGACGGGCACTGGTACTGTTTTCTGAGGAGAGGTGCCTGTAAACTCCAGATTCTACACTGTATGAGCTACAGTTATACTCTTGCTGACTAAAGTTCAGGGGTACTGGTTTTCCTGAGAAACAGTCCCTGGTGAATTGACAGCAGCTCAGGGAGTCCAGTCTCAGCCTGCTGTCATGAGCTGCTAGCCACTGAGGTAACCACTTTTCCACTGTTTGCGAAATACTGCATGGTCTTCGGTAGGTCTGGACGGTTTCACAAAGGAGTCTTTGATCAAACATTCTACACCTGGGTCTAGAATCAACCTCTTCTTTGCACCCACAGGTTTCCAAATAATCCTCTCTCATCTTTCTGAAACAAGTCTTTGGCTCTAAGCCTCTGGCTTTCTGCACTTTGATGTAATCTTCAAGTTCATCTTGAAAAGAGTCACATGTCTTTGAATGCTTCATTAGGTTGACAAGGAGTTCTCCTTAACAGGTTGAGAACTTGGTGGAGAAATTTGATCATATTCACCCATTGATTGCTTCAGATTTTTAGCATGAACTTTCCCCAAATAGTGAGACTGTGCAACAACTGAGGAGCTAAAAACCATGATGCAGAGATTTAAAAATCTATTTTTGTCCAATACTCCGCTCCCATTCACCTCATAATGTGAAATCCATTGTGATTCAAATTATGGCACTACTCCTTATAAGCCTTTTACAAAAGGTATCTGTAAAAAGTTCAGTCTTTGCTCATTCAACGTGGTACCTTCTCTGAGGCAGGGGCCCCCTCCGCGCCAACGCCACCCTCCAGTGGACAGGCCAAGGTGGAGGAGGCAGAGAGGCAGGGACCACCAATGCCGCCGCCGAGCGAGCAGGGTGGGAGCAGGAGGCGGAGACCGGACTTCCGAGGGGAAGTGGCCACCACCACCAGCGGCCAACTGGACGGCACCGCCGCCATAACGGTGAGGAGCGCTACTGCGCTTGCTCCAAATATTCTTTGTAGCCCACTGGCTTTCTTTTTTATTACTTTCTCCCTTGATTTTATTTTTGATTGTTCCTCACTTTTTCTGGACTCTTTGGTGAAAGAATAAATTTGCATCAGTAAACTCACCCAAGCCTACATCTTTACTGTCTTTTTATTGGCAGAGCGTTCACCTTGCTGAATTTCCACCTATTTTTTACCTCCTTCCAACTTGAGTCTTCTTTTCCCACAACCATCAAGTTAGATAAATGGCAAGGAACCACAGGAAGAAAGGAGAAAGATCGAGGAAGAGAAAGTTAAATACATTCTTAATTTCCATGAGCATTCACCTATCTTTCAGCAGCCCTGGTTTCAACAATAATAAGACGATTTATTGAACACTCACCACAGGCACTGTGTAAGGCACCATGACTCAGTCGTCACAGGTGCCCTGTGAAGTAGGGGGGACCCCATTTTACAAAGAACCTGAAGCTCAGAGAGATGGGTACCAGGAGTGATGACCCACTTGACTGTCTTTAAGCCACACCCTGAGGATGACACTGCTTCCATTTCCCTTTCCACCTGTCCTTCCTCATTCAACTTGGGAAAATTGGATTTACCATGCCATCAAGTAATTTCTTGGTCGCATGCCATTGCTATTTTATGCCAAGGAAAAAAAAATCACCAGAGATTTTACTGCTCATTTTAACCACCTTCATCTTGCTCTAATTTCTTTCACTAACAAATTGCTTTAAGGAAACAAAGTCCTGGGAATTCCCTGGCGGTCCAGTGGTTAGGGCTCCATGCTTCCACTTCAGGGGACACTGGTTCAATCCCTGGTCCGGGAACTAAGATCCTGCATGCTGAGTGGCCAATAAATAAATAAATAAATATAAATTAAAAAAGAATCAAAGTCCTAGGTAGACACAGTGCCCTTATCACTCTCTACAAGCCTATCCTCATTGCCCTGGCCAGAGAATTCACACAGGAACCTCCTTGTGCCCCTCTGCCTTATTTGAGTGTTATCCATCTACTTCTGTGGTCTCCCTACCATGCTGTACACATCTGTGCATCTCCACTGCATCTGGCACGGAACCTTCCCCGAACTGGCACTCATTTGTGACAAGGAATAATGGATGACTAGACTGGTATCCCAGCTTTCTTACCCCTCTTCCCATCTCAACCCTTTGTGTCCAAGCTGTGAGCCATTGGCTCCCTGACACTGCTGCCCACAGATGCCTTTTGGAGCCCCGTGACCATTGTCCCTCCTTCAGCCCCTCCTTGAAGGGTCCCCCACCTTGACATTAGACCTAGGAGTCTCTTCTCCTCCAGCCCGAATACCACACAGTCCCTTGGGCTCTTCTGTGGCCTCCTCGTACTGTCTCCCGCTGCTCTTCTCCCTCTGGAACTCATCTCACCACCCCAAGGACAGCCTTTTTGTCAGGCCGACTGTCATTTCTTGAGTCCTTCTCTAGTTGTTTATGCACATAGAGGTTGCATTTCCAACTAGCCCATAAGCACCTCAGAGGACAGGGTTTCTTTTGTGTTCACTGTGGTACCTAGCACAGCCATAGACATATGATTCATTTGGCACATGTGACCAAGTATTTGTTTTTTAATAGTAATCATATTTTTTTCTTGGATCAAAAAAAAAAAGAAAAAGAAAAGAAATTACTGTTTACTATATTTAAGTTTTGAATTTTTTTCAAATTTGCTTAGTTTGCTGTTCTTGAAGGGGTTTTTTGTTTGTTTGTTTGTTTGTTTTGTTTTGTTTTGTCTTGCGGTACACGGGCCTCTCACCGCCGCGGCCCCTCCCGCCGCGGAGCACAGGCTCCGGAGGCGCAGGCCCAGCAGCCACGGCCCACGGGCCCAGTCACTCCGCGGCACGCGGGATCCTCCCGGACCAGGGCATGAACCCGCACCCCCTGCATCGGCAGGCGGACCCCCAACCACTGCGCCACCAGGGAAGCCCCTGTTTGCTTTGTTTTTTAATGCTTGCATAGGAACTGCCTGGCATTATGCTGCTAGCTGTAATATGCATATCACCAGGTGAGAGTGTCCAGTTAGATGGTGTTCCCTCCTTTGCCATAGCTGGGCCTCACATTTTTATTACTGAGTCCACACCTCCCATCTGTCCAGTATTTCAAGCAGCAGGTTTATAACTTTATACAAGTTTTCTACCCTTGCAACTACATCATCTCTAGCAACCATTTCACATCTAAACAATCATCCTTGGCCTCCTTAATAATGTGAGTATAAAGATTTGCCAGTAGTTTTTTTTTTTTTCCAAATACTGCTTCCAAAATAAATGATGAATTCCCCTACTCCTAGAGATTGCATCACCCTCTTCCCTCCTCAACATCACTCATTTCAGAGCCAGCCCTAGTGACTTTGTAATTATGGTTCCCAGAATATAATCCCTTATGAGGGGTTGCGTGAATTTTCATTGATGTCTCCATGATGTCAGTAGCCTTTTAATGGTTCCATGACCCATCCTTTCCCCCTCAGAGACAACACTGGTCTTCTTTTTTTCTTAAGCTAGCCTTTTGTTTATCTCCTTGGATCATAAAAGAATCTTCAGCAAGAGTACTTATCCCTTTCCCTCCTTACTTACCTCTCTCACTACTGTATTTTCTTACCAATTCTTTTTTTTTTTTTTTTTTTTTTTTTTTTTTTGTTTTCTTTTCCCTCTCTGTTGGGGCCCCTCCTGCCTCGGAGCATAGGCTCCAGACGCGCAGGCTCAGCGTCCATGGCTCACCGGCCCAGCCACTCCACGGCATGTGGGATCTTCCCGGACCGGGGCACGAACCCGTGTCCCCTGCATCGGCAGGCGGACTCCCAACCACTGTGCCATCAGGGAAGCCCTCTTACTAATTCTTTATTTTTACATTGATCATTTCATATCTCTCCTACTCTTCAAGATTATTCTTGATTAAGAGAAAAGAGAACTGTGTCCTGTTTACTCTGATTTACCTTCCTCCTTTCCATGCTGGTGTCTCAATTCTGTTTCTCTTTGTATTAATCTATTGTTGTATAACAAATTACCCCCAAAGTTAGTAGCTTAAAACAGAAAAGATTCCTTATCTCAGTTTCTGTTACCTCACAGGCATGGCTAAGTTCAGTCTCTCTGGCTCTACATCTCTCATCAGTTGTCAGTCAAGTTGTAAGCTGGACGTTAGGGGCTCCACCATGAGGAACCCTTCTTGAAGTTCATTCAGGTGGCTGATGGCAGGCCTCAGTCCCTCATCATGTGAGCCTCTCCACAGGGATGCCTCACAACGTTGCCCATGGCTTCCTTCAGGCCATGTGAGTGACCCAAGAGGGAACTAACAAGAGCACTCAAGACCGAAACCAGTCTTTTTTTTTTTTTAACATCTTTATTGGAGTATAATTGCTTTACAATGGTGTGTTAGTTTCTAATGTATAACAAAGTAAATCAACTATATGTATACTTATATCCCCATATCCCCTCCCTCGTGTGTCTCCTTCCCACCTTCCCTATCCCACCCCTCTAGGTGGTCACAAAGCACCGAGCTGATCTCCCCGTGCGATGCAGCTGCTTCCCACTAGCTATCTGTTTTACATTTGGTAGTGTATATATGTCCACGCCACTCTCTCACTTCGTCCCAGCTTACCCTTCCCCCTCCCCATGTCCTCAAGTCCATTCTCTACGTCTGCATTCCTGTCCTGCCCCTAGGTTCTTCAGAACCCCCTTTTTTTTTTTTTTTTTTTTTAGATTCCATATATATGTGTTAGCATATGGTATTTGTTTTTCTCTTTCTGACTTACTTCACTCTGTATGACAGACTCTAGGTCTATCCACCCCACTACAAATAGTTCAATTTTGTTTCTTTTTTTAGCTGAGTAATATTCCATTGTATATATGTGCCACTTCTTCCTAATCCATTCATCTGTCGATGGAGATTTAGGTTGGTTCCATGTCCTGGCTATTGTAAATAGAGCTGCGATGAACATTATGGTACGTGACTCTTTTTGAATTATGGTTTTCTCAGGGTATATGCCCAGTAGTGGGATTGCTGGGTCATATGGTAGTTCTATTTTTAGTTTTTTAAGGAGCTTCCATATTGTTCCCCATAGTGGCTGTATCAGTTTACATTCCCACCAACAGTGCAAGAGGGTTCCCTTTTCTCCACACCCTCTCCAGCATTTATTGTTTGTAGATTTTTTGATGATGGCCATTCTGACCGGTGTGAGGTGATACCTCACTGTCGTTTTGATTTGCATTTCTCTAATGATTAGTGATGTTGAGCATACTTGCATGTGTTTGTTGGCAATCTGTATATCTTCTTTGGAGAAGTGTCTATTTAGATCTTCTGCCCATTTTTGGATTGGGTTGTTTGTTTTTTTGATATTGAGCTGCATGAGCTGCTTGTATATTCTGGAGATTAATCCTTTGTCAGTTGCTTTGTTTGCAAATACTTTCTCCCATTCTGAGGGTTGTCTTTTCATCTTGTTTATGGTTTCCTTTGCTGTTCAAAAGCTT